GACCTTCACTCCGAGCATGAAAAGTACCTGGTGAAGCACTGTGGCAGCATACCCGTCTTTGTCGTTAATTATCCATTAGAGCTCAAGCCTTTCTACATGAGGGACAATGAAGACGGCCCTCGGCGCACGGTAAGATCGGGAGAGCAGAACTGGCATCTCAGAGTCTCCGTTTTCCCCGGGATTGCGTGTCATGTAGCCTTGGGCATATTCTCTTAAATTATAACCACCCCTCTTTTTCTCTCTCAAAGCCACCACATTTCCCATGCCTACCTTTCAAAAAACGACCCCCAAGAAGGTCCCATATTCTGTAAACATTTTGGTTTGCAAGATATCCTTATCAGCATAGCCTATGCAAATGTAGGTGTTTATTTATTGACTTTATTTTTTAATATCACAGCACTGTACAACAATGTCAGTGAGGCATTCATGGGGAGAGAAAGCCTACTGGGCAAGAAGAGATGGTAGTCACTAGCTGCTAGGGCAAAGGAAGAGCCCATGGGGCAAAGCAGGAGGCTGGAATTGCCTGGCAGAGAGCTGGTATGAAGGCTTCTGAGGAGGTCGAGGCCTAGTCTCCCTGTCGCAGCTCTTGTCGGACTGGGAACTGTCTTCTTGGTCTGAGAGGCCTGTCTGTCTGTCTGTCTCACTGCACTCTCTCCCTTTCTTGTCTGCTGCCCACTTTTCACCTTTAACTTCAATTGCCTTTTTTAGTCCTTCTGACTCACTTTCCCTTAATTTGATCTGTTTTCTAAATAGACAATATTTTCCACATTTAGTAATAATATTTCTTTCCCTAGCATTAGCCAAAATATAGAGTAAGAGTATATTTTATATTTTAATTATTTATGGAAGGGTTGCAAATTTGATACCAGGCTTGGAAAAGTGGAAGGGCAGTAAAGGAGGAAGGGCCTCAGTGAGACGGAGTGGTGCAGCGGCTGCATCAGCGGGCTCAGGTACAGGACAATGGTGAGGCTGACACAGGATGGGGCAGTGTTTCCTTATGTTGTGCATAGGGTCACTGAGTACCAACTCAATGTGCCCAACAGCAACAACATATTTGATATTATCCATTGTAAAATGTCTATCTGCAAAAAAGTTATAGAACCCTCACTAGCTGCCAAGTCTATTGGTGAGTACCAGTTGGAGCACGTTGATGGGCCACAAGTCAGTGGCCTCGCTCTGTCTTAGGGTGGGAGCCCTGAAGGCACCGTGATCACATGTTGGACTGTGACCCTTTAGGCCCACCAACCATGCTGCTGGGTGAGAGCGGGCCTTTCTAGTCCTGTCAACAGTTGCAGTCTTGGAAACCCAAAGGGGCCTTCTGCCCTGCCCTGTAAAGTCACACTGAGCTTGGTTTTGGGTTTAACTAGGTATACAATTTTATCTGTTTGCCTATAGTTCCTGTTTCATCTTGTAGGATTGCTAAACTGTTGTTGCTGTGTGCTCTCTAGTGGATTCCGACCCCTAACAACCCTCTAGGGCAGAGTACAAGGCCACCCTGGGGTTTCGGACTCTGCGCTCTATCTGGGACCACACGTGTTCTCCCGTGTGCATTTCCATTAGCACTCAAAGGCTTCTCCTTTCGTGTCAAACACCACTGTGTCATCTGTCAATTCCCAAACAGTTTTGCCAAGAAATGTCTTTTCTCCCATTTTGTGAAGTACAAACACACTGAAGTGCAAAGGGAGCCATGGGCCTTTC